ACCCCAACGTGTGCCTGAACCACAGTCTAACCAGCGTCTACTGAGCATCGCCCGGATTGCTGCCAGTGATGTTGCAACCCTCAAACAATGCTGTAACGAAAGACCCTGCACATTTATTTCTTATGTGTGAAGAGACGTGTTTGGAGGATAAACAGGATACACTCTCAGGTGCATGATCGTCTTTCTTTTTTTTTTTCTTTTTTTAGTGGCTGGCGAGTACAGGGATCTGAATCCTTGACCTTGGTGTTACCAGTCCCACATTCTACCAGTGAGCTAACCGGCCAGCTGGTTAGGTTTCTTTTTGATGGCCACAGAGCTTCTGCTTTATGCCACTAGCTCCTTGCTTGTGTCCCTTGAGGTCTTTTCTAATCTTTCCATCTTGCCAACAAGGTTGCTGTGGGCATCCCTGAACCAATGCTCTTGCACGTCTGTCAAAGTATGTATGCAGGAAAACTTCTAGAAGTTTTCCAGAATTATCTCAGGGCCTGTTTCTTACGATGATTACAGAAAGCAGAGTGCTTGTCTTGAGCTGACAGATGTCCAGGAACACAGTTCTCCTCTCAGGGACAGTTGAGCAACACCCACCCACAGAGAGCCAGAGCCATCGGTGCAAGGCAAGTCACAGAAACCGCTCCCCTGATCTGCCCTCAACAGTCACTTCAGCTGCGACAGGGTCGGGACCCAGTTGTTTGGCTCCACCTGCTAGCCTGCTGAGTGAAATGAAATAACATCCTGGACAAAATGTAACTGAGGTTATTTCTGGGGAGAGAGGGACTTAGAGGAAGTGACACCTTCTATCTGCTACTTTATAAATGTCAACACTGTTGAATTTGTTACAAGGTGCATGTGTTACTGTTATAATTAAGCAAAGCTATCTTACCAAAATGCCAACACTAGGGCTGGCTGGTTAGCTCAGTTGGTTGCACCAAGGTCAAGGGTTCAGACCCCCCTACCGGCCAGCCGCAAAAAACAAACAAAAAACTGCCAACCCTGAGTTTGTTGCAGCTGACACTTACCTGGCTGGCATTCCCACCAGGCAAACTCTCTACTTAAAAAACACCATCACTTTTGATCCTAACCCATGAGGCAGGAGCCAGAATCATCCTTGTTTCTCAGAGGACATTACAGAATGTCCTTGGACAAATTAAGTAATGTGCCCAAGGTTATGTCCAGGAAGTGGCAGACCCCCAGTCTTAACCACAACAGTCTAGGCAGCTCCCAGCCATGGTGCCTCTTCCCACTGACTCAGAGGCTTCCGGCACGCAGGATTCTGAATCAGAGGTCACCTTAGCCCAATGTCCCCTTTCACAGCGCCCAGAGCACAGAAGGAAGAAGTGACACATCCAATGTCACACGGGAAATGAGTGGCAGGGAGGGGGGATTGTAACCCCAGGTTGCCTCCTCCACACGGACCAAGCGCTTCTACCCCGCAGCAAGGACCAAAGCTCTGTGCCAGGCAGCAAGGGACCCGAGGACACTGAGGGTGGGCACCATCCAGTTGAGGAGATAACACCAGCCAGCACTGGGCCATTATCAGAAAAATGCCTTCTAAACTGCAAGGAACTACGGGAGAGTGTGGTGCTGATAACATCAAGGCCACGGGTTCGAATCCCTATATAGGGATGGCCAGTTAGCTCACTTGGGGGAGCATAGTGCTGACAACACCAAGTCAAGGGTTAAGATCCCCTTACTGGTCATCTTTAAAA